ACTGTATATATATATATATATATATATATATATATATATATATATATATATATATATATATATATATATATATATATATACTTATGTGTATCTATTTGTGTCTTTGGTGAGTACTGTATGTATAACTATTGCTAATTGGTATTCAAGTCAGACATCAACTCTTATCATATGAAGAAAAGCGAGTGAATTATAAGGAATCGACTATTAAAGCCGTTCACAGATTGCCACCAATGATAGTCACTATCATATAAAATATATAGTGATGTCAACAATGCAAGAACTGACAAAAACGAGTGCATCCATACAATACATAAGCCAATATCACCGACAAAACCAATATATACATGTGCTATGTATGTGAAACACTGTTTGCTATGACTGACAATCAATTTTATTCCTCCAATATGTTTGACTTTGATCTCTAGCACAGCACAGCTCCGGCAGCTGTTGGTGTGTTCAGCAGCGCAATGGATGAAATCAAAGACAAGCCAACAAATACCAGTGAATCTCTTAGTGATGCCATTTCTCCAGTAATGCCATTCTCACAACAGCCCCATCACTAACACTACTTAACCTTTAAGTACTAAAACGATAAAATAGTGATCATAAATGAATATATAAACTCACTCTCACTTGTTTAACAAAATTATTCACAAATTTTATTTTTATTTATATATCGCTTTTTATAGTTATTACACACACACACACACACACACACACATGCAGTCATATACTGTATATAAAGTATATGTTGGCTGTTAAACACATGAGTGAAGCGTCTGAACAGATAAGGCGTTAATTTCTAATTTTCTGAATCTATAGCCTAAACACAGCACAGCATAACACACATACATAAGAAAATCACTATTTCTTAACTAACACACAAAGTCTATCCCTCTATCACTTTGAATGGTATGTCTGCAATACCAGTGCTCATAACAGCAAAATAGAGAGAAAAATAATTTATGGATAACTTAATAGTAAAGAAAGTAGAGAGAGAAATAAAAAGGCTTATTGAAGCATCAAAATAATGATTGAAAATGTATATAACATGAGAGATAGGAGACTATATTTCTCGTATTAAATATATAAAAACAATATATATATATATATTGTATATACAGTATATATGCTATCATTGCTTGTAATACAGTCCTCTTTGTTCAGTACAAGGCTTATAGAAGAATGGCATCAAAATTGTCAACTCAAGAGAATAGCTATAATTCACGACTCCCGGAGCTAATTATTATTAGATTTAGTTACAAATTTTGTCCTTTATATATATATATATATAAGTTATATAACAAAAGTGATAATCAATAACAATGTTTTTGCTTAAAAATAAATGTAATATTCATTTGATATTATTTTTGTTTTGTTAAAAGAAAAGATTTTGAAACAAACACAATATGTAAATGATTTGTTGTCATATATTTGTTGTTAAATTATTAGAAAAATTCTTTACATTTTAAATATTATTGTCTCTGCGATTAGACTAATAATCGTGTGGTTCCCTAAATTATGCTATACAATGGGTACATAATATGAACAGTCACTAACTCACATACCGGTTCTCTCTCTCTCTCTCTCTCTCTCTCTCTCTCTCTCTCTCTCTCTCTCTCTCTCTCTCTCTCTCTCTCTCTCWCACACACTCACTCACTCTCCTAGTGTTTCGTTTGAAATCTCATATGGTATGGTATTGAGTAGATATATAGCTAAAATGTTAGTTAAAAGTGGAGAATATATGCACTCTTTATACGTGCAATTCCTTAACATATTAGAGGCCAAGATATGAGAGGCAAAGGGAAAGGCATCTAAAGCCAAATGGTCTGGTTGTGGTATAAGCCTTAAGGCGCTTCACCTGCATCTTCAATAAGCCAAAAACAGACATACATGCTGTGCATCCCTCGTTTTCTTTCCCATCCCTATCCCTTATTCTATAGGCCTTTTTGAGTTACCAGTGCTCATACATGTGTATATGAGATTCACCTCAAGTCAAAAAAAACTTTGTACACATATCTAAATACTGTAACATATTTTCCTTTAGACTCTCATTTGCACATAAAAAGATCTCTCTCTCTCTCTCTCTCTCCCAGTCAGACATGAATTGCACGCTCGCATGGTTTGGTGTGCTGTAAACCTCTACTGTCAGTGCATTTTTCCAGAGCCCAAAACAGCCCAACACCACAACCAACAAAAAACTCAACGATGAACTTAACTAAATATGAAATAACAGCCAGTTTTTGATAATACTAGAGCTGGTGCTGGTTATGGTATTTGTCTGAATATGTATATACTGTATACACTGCTGTTGTCTTTAACCATTACTAACAACACAAGTATAGCTAGTATTGCTATTCACAGGCCTCTCGCTGAGCAAGTTTTACATCAAAAGAGAGAAATATACAACAAATGAGAGCAAATGTAAAAGCAGTGGAAAATTAAAAGCATTTGAGAGAAACAAAATAAAAACTTTTTTCATTACATAAAAAGTAGCAATGAATTTATGAATATATAGTACTAAATATTGTCTATTTTTGCACATTATGTGTTTGAAGTAATGAGTTGGATGTTAAATGTGTTTTAATGAACATAAGACAAATGAGACAATCTTATCATTTAAATAGACATTATCATTATTATGAATACATTGTAGTTTTCATTAACTATTAATCTATAGTATTTATTTTTTGGTACAAATTTAATAGCAATGATATTTAATCGGTTGATATTTAAGCAACTCTTTGTTTTAATAGAAAAAACAAATGAATATAATGTTAAAGTATATGTTAGAGAATGTGTTTATTAATTATAATACTATATGTTTTGAAAATAATTTATTTTTAATTAACAAATTATTTACGAATAAAAATTAACGCATAAAGCATATCATTTAAGTACTTTTAATTTAGAAAATGATAAAAACATATATTTGTTTTTTTGAAGATTTGATCATTTTTTTGGAATATGTTTTTGTGATATTTATTTAGTCAATCGTTTAGGTCATTAACGCCAATACACTTAATTACATTCATATAAGTTTATATTGTATTTATGTATAGTATATACTGTAAGTGTGTACTGTAAGGCTCATTTAATGGCACTCATAATAATTTAGACACTCATTTAGATTATGTTGTGTGCCATCAATGGTGTTATAGTGTGTGATCTGTTTTGATGTGTAATAAGTATTTAAAAAGATAGACATTTCTTCAAACACAAACCAACAACTTTAATGTCTATTACAAGTGCTTATCTAATCGTATCATTATATTTATATTAGTAAAAATATATATAATTAAAATAACTTGGACTATATTATATGTTTTTTTTATAAATTAATTTAGCAGACAATAGTGTTACACGTTATGTGCTACAAATCGCCAAATTTTAAGATATAATTATAATGTTAAAATTATACTGAATATTATAAGGCTGAGGGACTCAGTTGGGTCTACACTTGAAAAGTCAAACAATAAATTTTCACATTTTCCTAGATTTTTTTAAATATAAGTTTTTATTATTAGGTGTTTTAGTATCTAAAATTAAAATTTAAATCTTCAATGCGTGTTCTCATATATAAATATACTGTATATAGAAAATATAAACTAAAATTTTTTGCTTCAAAATTAATGACTTTATAATTACATTCAGACAATATTATTATAATTATTGTTATTATTAGATATATACACAAAAACACACAGTATTACTTTATACTGTATTATTCACTGTATAAATATATCATAACACTATCATATGATTTTTTTATATGACTGCCCATTATTATGGATAGACTTCACGTATTTCATTATGGATTACTTTCTCAGTGACATAGCTATCAAATTATATACATTTAGTCAAACACTATCACCAAAAAATTGTATAAAAAAATTAAAATTAAAAACACATTCATTTGTGACAGCAATGACCAGCTTAGGGTGGTTTGGGATTTAAACTGTATGTTTAAAACATATAAACACACACAACATAAATGATTATCTAACAAAAAAATTCTGACATAATCTTTATACCAAAAATATAATTATCGCAACAACGAGTATATATATATATATATATATATATATATATAGTGTAATATTATTAAAATTCATGGTTTAATCTTGTATAAAAATCACCCAAAAAATTTAAAAAATTGTCATTGAGGTCAATGGTTATCCAGCTAACTTAATATGCATTACTAAGATAATATATATATATATATATATATATATATATATATATATATATATATATATATATATATATATATATATATATATATATATATATATATATATATATATATATATATATATATATATATATATATATATATATATATATATATATATATATATATATATATATATATATATATATATATATATATATATATATATATATATAAGATATGTTAGATTCAAAATAAATTATTACTAAACTTAGGATAATTTCGGAATTCCCGATTATTTAATAATTTTATAATTGTTGATAAATTTAATAGTAGTAAAAAGATGCAAAATATAATAGAATATAGTTTTATGTTTTGTGTTTTTTCTAAAATTCACAAAATATTACATATAATCTAAAATCCAAAATTGTATAAAAACAAAGTTTTCAAACAAATCACTCAATACAATAGTTTTGCAGTAATTTAAGTGAATAAACTAATATATAGAAATTGTATTAAAAGAATTTCATATATATTATATATATTGTAGCTTTTTCCGATTTTGTAATTTTTACTCCTGTGTTATCTTAAGTATTATTATTATTAAAATAATAGATATTAAAAACAATTTTAAAATTTAAGAAATTAACTTAAATTTAAAAAAAATATAATCTATATATTTAACTGTTTATAATTCAATGTAGAATGAGAGGTAATGTGCAACTTATTAATAGATTTACTCATTTATTAGTGTATTATATGCTTATAATTAAAAATAATATAGAAATTGTATAAAATTATACAGTTATTAAATGCCATGACTTACCGGCTTCACTGTTGTTGTCAGTACTTTGCTGTGAACTGGGTTGTTGTGATAGAGGACCGGGAGTTCCAGTAGAACCTGTTGGTGATCTGACATCGTCGTGAACGCCGTGGCCTCCAAATGAGTTAAATGACTGAGAAGGTGGGCGCTGTAGGCATAGGGATGACAATAAATGAAAGTAAAAATTAATACACTTTTTTAATATTGTTAAACAAAATAATAATTAATTATTTATAATTTAACATTATTTAGGATTTGACTTTGAAGTGTTTACACATTTTATAATTTATATTATTTTTACCACAAACTTAATTAATAACCTTATTTTGATAGTACTGTATAAATACTTGATGTAATACAAACTTTTTAAAACTCATATATTATATCATAAAATAATTTTTTATTTAAATAATTAAAAACCTATTCATATGTATTAAATATTTACGATGAAATGTGTACTAAGTTGTAATTTAAGGATTTTTTTGACACCAAAAATATATTAATTTTGTTATCATATATTATAAACTATATTACTTTTTATTTGCTGTATGTACTGTACTATTAGATATGAAATATTATTATTAATAATCATAAATGGCGTGATTTATATAAGTTATTAAATACTTGACTTTTGTGTGAAATTTTGTTGTTTCAAAATAAATGACAGAAAATAAACACCAAAATGCCTTTCATTCAGAAACCATACTTAATATTGGTGTTTATATGTGTGTATAAAGTTATACAGCATTAAAAAGTAAAGCAATTGCCGTATGTTTTAGTAAAAAGTAAAAATTATGTCATAAAAATCATAGCATATAATTAATCAGTTGAACCATTTATCAGAGAATAGAGAAGCATAACAAATATCAGTCAAACAGGTAATGCCTTAATTCATGGAATACTATAAGAGCACCAGTAGTTTTTCATGGCATCACCAGACAGAGTGTCGTATAAACAATCAATCAATGGTTAAAACAGTAGTAATAATAGCTATATAACAAGTCTCTCACTATTATACATAATGATGGCATTTGTAAAATGCTGTGCAAAATGTAAATGTGTTTCTCTTAACTTTATTTTCACATTACTTTTCTCTCTTTTTATCTTTTTTTTTAAACAACATATAAAACAATGTGTTGTATATAATCATAATTTTTTTATAGTTAGAATTTTATAACTTTCAATCGATTCACTCTCACGAGAAACAAATAGTAAAAGTGAAAAACTACAGTATTATAACTTTTCACTTCAATAATAATGTCAGTAATATTAGTGGGGCTATAGTTTACTTGTTTATCAAAATAAAAAAACATACACAAAGCAAAAGGTATATCATTTGAGACCACGAAGTGAACCAAAATTATAGTCGTTTGGCTAAACATTGTTAACCAGAATAACACACAAAATCATTGTTGTTGTTATTATTTACTATTATTATTACTATCATTATTATTGTTGTTTGTGCTTATATTTCTGCATTTTTAATATCATTATCATTATTATTATTATTTATCTTTGCGTTAAAGAGACGGGACGTGAACTGGACTCATCCACTAAGTTGATAATCATATATAAGGTATATGTATAGCAATACGGTATATAAGTTGGTTGGTTATGGTGCGCACGCTATCCATTTCCGCACCATTATTGTTACCACTAAAAAATGGTTTGCCTGTCACTGGTTTACAGGTATATACTAATAGGAGATAGACATTGGATGCTTACATGGGACACACATTATGAATGATGATTGTCATTGGGAATAGTAGTTCATAAAAATAATTGCACATTAATATTATACACATACTATGTTAAACAATCAATAAAATTAAATAATAATATAAATTATACAAATATACTATATTTATATTTTGACTATTATTTGTGATTACAAATTAGTTTTTTAAATAAGTCATTGACTGGCAATCTGTAAATCAAATGTTTAAATTTAGGGTTATTTGAGTTAAAATGTATTAAAATAATGCAATAAACTATTGTCCGATAGTTTCAAGAAAACTATATCTTAACTCAATTGCCAATTATTGTTTGTAAAAACCTCTGAGGAAGTAATTATGGTTTTTATAGCACTTTCACTGATTTCAGATATTTGTTTAAAAATCTAATGTATGGTTTAACACAAATACCTGTAATTAAATGTCTAATAAGAGTTAAATATTGAATGGGTTCGAGAGGAAAGATATCATTTAAAGATAATTTTAGTGATACTATAATAATAAAGTCGTTAAATGAT